TCATCTTTGTTGTTTTTATCACAACGCTTTGGCCGTTGTGACCTCCGGCCTTCCTCGAATGCTATCCACAAAAACGTTGACCGATTTTCATTTATAAAAACTTAGGTTGAAAACCTTCCACGTATGGCTTTGTAAATGACGTATTTTAGCAAACTAAAAATGCATCAACATTTCGGTAGCAAGTGATGAACCATGACCTCTTTTAATCATGAAATTAAATAAATTGCTGCACATGTATGCTCTGTCACCTGAGGGTTAAAAATTATTCCGCCCGAACAATTTTGCTGATTTTCTCTGTCAAATTTCGAGCACTTACCATCAAAATTTGAATTCCTTACCCAACTCATAGACCAAGGAATGATGCGTTGTACGAAGCCTATCAGGTGTGACACTTCCTGGAACGACAGCAGGCTGTTTCTAGGGTAATGAATCAAGCAAATATTTATACGGTTAGTGATTTTCCAAGCAGTAGTTTGTGGCACAAGGCCGAAAAAACCCAAGGATCGAACTCACTACTCAGTCGTATTGTTCAGCGAGACAAGCTTGCTAACCATTACACCACCTCGAGGTGCCCATCATTTTCTAAGCGTAGCTTAGATGTGGCACAAGGCCGAAAGTATGGAGTACCCAGTGAGAATCGAACTCACTACTCAATCGTAAATGTGTTGGCGAGACAAGCTTGCTAACCGTTACACCACGTGGAGGTGCCCAAATATTTATACGGATATGTTCTTACTTTTGCTTTCTTTCGACACAAACCAAAAGAGTAATTTGCTACAGAGCAGTAGTGGAAGTTGCACGTGTTCATGTTATATTGTTTTCGAAAAATGACTTAAAGTAATCTAAAGTCTGGTTTTGCGTGAAGATTGGTAAAAGCACTTTTGAAATGTTAGCACTATTTAAAATGGATACATACTATGACGTATTCGGGTGCTTATAAGTGACAAAGGCGGTTCAAGATGATTTGCACTATAATGCAAGAAGTTGGCATCTAAAAGCACAAACAGATCGAACCTAGGTGACTCTAATTAAACGTCTGACTGATAACAGAAGAAATTAATATAAATAAGGAAACTACGGCTGATTCAAACAGAAGAATTGGGAATTAAAATTAATCAAGATGGCGCCTTAAATATTGATAACTAGCAGGAGAGCCCGGCGTTGCCCGGGGATGTAACAGTAAGAGATAGATCAAGTATCGACCATCATAAAGACTGAAAAATAAGATTGACAAAGATTGTTGTTTAAGGTTGACGGACACGCATGTCTTAATTAGTTTTTTGCTTTTTTTTACGAATTGGTCAAACTCAAACAAAAAACATTGTTTTCATTCGTTATGAGTCTACCGGTTGAATAGAATTTTATTATAAATAATTGTCTTGTAAATGGAATTTTTAAAGCATTCTGAATGTAAAAATAAAGAAAAAAAGTGTGCAAGTCAATAAGAAACACTACCTGCCAAAAAAAAGTGAAGTTTTGTTGAAATCCGATCCCATATATAAACGAACACACACACACACACACACACACACACACACACACACACACACAACCTGGGTTTTATAATAAGTATAACTCTATATGAGTTGTTCTCCTTTCATTATGGCGACAGAATCGTGTTTTATCGTGTTTTCAAATTGATTTCGTGCAAAAACAATTGTATTTTTCCAATTTTTGGCGCTGTCAGAACCACCGCAAGGTAATTTTACGTAGTCCTGTGAAGCTTTGTTGAAATCGGTTGGAAAATGTAGTAAATCCGATCCAATATATAAACGTACACACACACACACACACAGTATCTGCGTTTTATAATAAGTAAGATTTATGTCTAGGAAGGACCGTCTTTGCAAACAGCTGCGAATACGGACAGAGTGCGAACATTCGAGCGTTTAGATCGATGATTAAGGTATCTAGCCACCCTCCCACGAGGGTTGCATGTGGCACAAGGCCGAGTTTAACGTGGGTTTCCCGAGCCCGTAGGCTCGGCCAAAAATTGCCCGTAGAACCCGTATAAACGGGATCGGGTTGGTCAACCTCCCCGAACGTCCGGGTTCCTCTCTACTCAGAGGCAGAGAGTTCGACCGTCAAGCCGATGATTAAGGTTGCGACTGAGAGCAGACGAACTGGATCTGAATAGGGAACGAGGGTAGCAGATTCAATGAGTGATTTGGGAATTAAAAAAATGGTGGAAGACGATTTGAAGAGTGTTTATAAGGACAGGCCCGGCTCAAGAATTCGGGCAGTCGCCAGGAGTGCTATCAAGGCCGAGGGCGCAAATCATGTCGCTGTATCACGTGTTTGGGATTTTCTAAAACTATACCTTATAAAAACTTACTAGCAGTCGTCCATGACTCAAGACAGATTAAATTCTTTGGCTATTTTGTCAATAGAAAATGATCTTGTAAAGAAGATAGGTGTAGAAATGCCCTGAAAAGATGTAGAGCTCTAAAGTCTAGAAAAGATGTTTTACGTAGGAAAATGAATCTTTTCTTTAGCTTGTATTAATTGTATATTGTGATAAACTCGTTATTCTATATTTTAAGTTTTTCTCCCTGTGAAAATTGTAAAAAATTATACTCGTAAGTGTGCCGAAGTTCAGCTTGCCTGAGGTGCCATCAACCCTAAGGCCGTCAGTGCATAAGAGAAAGGAGTTAATTTTTAAGAGTTGAAGGTTAGATTAACAGATCAATACTGTTAACAGATGATATTGATATTTTACTGTAATCGATTACTCGCTTTGAAACGGGACGTCATTTGTGAAACACGTAGACAACTGGATTTATTCCGATGTAAACAAACGTATCTGAAAAGTACAATATACAGGGTGGGCCAAAAGTAAAGTTACAGTTGTTTCACTATTTTTTTAATGTTTTAGATCTAATTGATCTAAATCATAATTCCAAGCCGGTATTCCACTCCCCCATTATGCTTTGGCAGTAAGGTACTACTTTAAGCAAATATTTCCACAGCATTGGTTTGGAAGATGGGGTAGTATCGAATGACGACCACGTTCCCCTGATCTAACACCAACGGATTTCTTTTTTGTAAAGAACAATAATTCAATAAAACAAACTTATTTTTAATAAAATCGTAATTCAATTTAATTTTTAATAAAGTAAATCAACATTCTAAAATATTTTTATTTTATTGAATTCTATTTTATATGTCAATTTACTTTATAAAAAAAAAACAAATTTCATTACAATTTACTTTAGTACAAATAATTAAAAACAAAAAAAGACTGGTTTACATTTTACATAATGCCTTTACAAATGCCTTACTTGAAGAAAAATATTTACTGATTAAGTTTTTAATCCTTAATAAATTACTTTTATTCGGTTATAAAAAAAATGTTATGTTTTTCTGGTGCTGAGTTGTCGCGGTCCTGAGTTGCCCCGGCGCTCAGTCGGCGGTGTTGAGTCGGCGGTGTTGGGTTGGCGGTGTTAAGTCGGCGGTGTTGAGTTGTTCCTTCCCATTTTGGAGAGGTTCGAGGAATGTTGTTATGTTGAAGGACATAGATATTAACCTTCAGTCTACCAATCGATTCATAATTTTTTTTCAAAACTAATTTTTTCAGACTTATAGTTATTCTATTCGAATTATTTTTGTGACTTTTATTTTTTGTTACTTTTATTTTTTGTTTTATTTTCTATCTTCTTCATAAAAGAAATACATTAAGAACAAAAAATAAAATTTTGGTGGATAAATTCTCCTTCAAGTGGATCGATTGAACCCATGGTTAGAAACTTCAAATGGTTGATAAGCCGTGAAAAACGAATCAATCAAATTAAATTCATGTAGACGAGTCGTTAAGGAGGAAAGCTCATCAGAATAGTTGTCATGAAAATATTTGTTGAGAAGTCAAGATGCCAGGTTAGGATCAGTCATATTACAGACTAGCAGTAGAGCCCGGCGTTGCCCGGGGATGTAACAGTAAAAGAGATAGATCAAGTATCGACCATCATAAAGACTGAAAAATAAAATTGACAAAGGTTATTGTTTAAGGTTGACGGACATGCATATCTTAATTAGTTTTTTGGGGTTGTTTTTGTTTTTTTTACGAATTGGTCAAACCCAAATTCAAGCAAAAACATTGTTTTCAATCGTTATGAGTCTCTACCGATTGAATAGAATTTTATTATAAACAATTGTCTTGTAAATGGAATTTTTAAAGTATTCTGAATGTCAAAATAAAGAAAAAAGTGTGCAAGACAATAAGAAACACTACCTGCCCCCAAAAAGTGAAGTTTTGTTGAAATCGGTTGAAAAATGTAGGAAATCCGATCCCATATATAAACGAACACACACACACACACGCACAAACAACCTGGGTTTTATAATAAGTATAACTCGATATGAGTTGTCCCCCTTTCATTCTCGTGATGCCTCTTAATCGTGTTTTCAAATTGATTTCGTGCAAAAACAATTGTGTTTTTCCAATTTTTGGCGCTGTCAGAACCACCGCAAGGTAATTTTACGTAGTCCTGTGAAGTTTTGTTGAAATCGGTTGAAAAATGTAGGAAATCCGATCCAATATATAAACGTACAGATACGCACACACAATCTGCGTTTTATAATAAGTAAGATCAATTTTGTAAAGAATCTCGAGATATATAGGGGAACACATTGTGCAGAATATATATTTTTTCACTATTAGGCTATTAATTTACATATGTTTATTTGTCCGATGTGTTGTAGAAGCTCGGTGACATTTTTAAGACCTTCAAATATTAACCGACATTTTTTTCTTTATCATTGATTTTGTTTTGTAAATAGGAAGTAAAATGGATTTCCTTTTCAGTTATTCGTCCCACATTATTTTTGATCTTTCGATGTTTATACTTGGGAAGCTTTTTAATTTTGAATTCTTGTCACTTTACTTTAATTGTGACGAAGGTTAAATGTTGCCCAATAAAATCACTCGAAGCAGAAGAAAGAGAAAACTAATGTTTAAGTCAATATATGCTTTTTTCATTGGATCAAAAATGCGCAGAAATTAAATGGTTCACCTTCTTTTACATCCTCGCACCTTGGGTTTCATTATAAGAAAATTTAATACCCATCAGTTTTCATTATCTATCTATCTATCTATCTATCTCAATCTATTCATTTTCTTCCTATCTATCTATCTATCTATCTATCTATCTATCTATGTGTCTTTTAATATCAGTCTTTTAATATCTATTTATCTATGTCAGTCTTTTACTATCTATCTATCTATCTATGTCAGTCTTTTAATATCAGTCTTTTAATATCTATTTATCTATTTCAGTCTTTTACTATCTATCTGCTATCTATCTATCTAACGTGCTAACTTCCTTAATCTCAACAGGCCTGACTTTTGCAACTTGGTCCAGACATGCCACGTACACAAGTATAAATCATCCCAATTCCCTTTGTATTTCATTAGTAAGAAGCAATTCCACTCAAACATCTTCCCAAGAACCGCTGATTTGTGGAACAGACTTCCATTAGGATGTTTTCCCAATGACTAATCTTGACTTCTTCAAGTCTAGGATTAAAACTTATCTTTCCTGCATAGCCTCACTGTTGTAATGTAGGGTCGGGCAAAACACAACACTTAACACGACAGAGTCAGTCGTGATAGTAGTATCTAATACTCTGCTAGACAAATTACTTCGATGGTATTGTCTTACCCAGGACTACTTATCATGAATGGATCTGTCTATTCAAGATAGTAAGGAGGTTAACTGGCACAACACTCATGAACTATACCCCTTGCCTTTTTCTTACGCTCATACAACATCACAGAGTAAATCTCTACCTTGAGTGGCTGTTGTGCCTTTTATTGTGTGCACATTAATTAAAGACAAAACTGTGGAACTTGTTTCATGTCACTTGCTTTCCTGGAAACTACGATCTTCAAATAATTAAATGTAACATCAATCGCCATCTTGTTTTTTTTAATTTATTTTCTATTCATTAGTAAGAAATAATTTCCACTCGGACAAGAATTGTTGCTTTGTGGAACAGACTCCCGGAATTGTTGCTTTGTGGAACAGACTCCCAATCAATAAAATCATGACCTCTTCAAGTCTACGATTAATAATTATCTTTTCTACATAGATCATGAAATACACTTCTTGCTTTTTCTTTCGCTCATACAACACCACACAGTAACGATCTACCTTAAGTCGTACTCGGGCCTTGTATTGGTTAGTATAAAATATCGCGCATTTCACTTGAGGAAATCATTTCTGGCTTATTGATTTCCTGGCAAGAATCTTCAAAAAGTGAAATTCAACATCAATCGCCATCTTGTTTTCTCGAATAGTGTTCTTTCTTTCTTTGCCCTACATTCTCAATAATGCTTTCAAAATTTCTTTCGCTCTCAGCAACCCCTTTCGTCTTAGTCGCTCTTATCGTCTTGCTTCAGATGGAATGATTAAACCAATGATGTAAGATTAATATTTAAGATAGAATTTTGAATTTGTTCTATGTTATATATGTCTATATTTTTGAGATGAGGTATTGTAATTATTTACACTATTTACATTGTTCGGACGATTCGTTGCCATATTCACGACGTTTCGTCCGTTGTTCGCTCCAGCCTTCTTTATTTCGTCCATGGAGGTAGACTGTTCCAGTTCCACATGCCATGCCTCTTCCGGATATTTCAGTATCAGTTATTTACTTTTAACTCAACTCTCCAATTTTTTGTTGAACTCACAACTCTTTGGGTCAAGTCACTGGATCCAACCAACGTTTTTATCCACTAGGCCTTGAGGATATAAGTGTATGAATTCTTGGGAGTTATAAACGTAATGTTTCAGTAAACATTTTTTTTACCAGTGTTCATATTACAATTTTCGTTGTTGTTGTTTTTCTCTAGCAGCCTGTAATATTGGCTCCCATATTGTATTCGTGTCTATGCTTGGCCGGCTTAGGAGATTTTTGTGGCTCAGCATATGCATTGATTCCTTAAGTTTTGTATTTTCCAACAATGTTCTCTGTCTATTATTTCAATCTCATCCTACAGGGGGCGGTGATCTCCCTTTTCCTACATATTCAATTATACTTAAATTATACATAATACATAGTTTAAATATTAATAAAAAAGTGACTTTTCGTTTTCATTCTTTTTTAGTTTTGGTATTTGATTAAATTTTAATATATTTCCAATAACGTATTTCTCTATAAAACCTCTGTGATGATAAGTGTATATTAAAACACAACTCTACAAAACTACTTGTGGAAATTGTCAATTTACTGAAACTTCTCCACTTGATTATTTTTTATTTAATCTTTACAGTGATCTGTACAAGGTCCGTGGCCACTCGTGGTAGAGTAAAAGTCACAGTTTATGTGTATAGGTGGGGAAGATAACGGCTAACTCTAGACTTGAACAGATTATGATTGTAATGATCAGTTCCACAGAGCAGTAATTCTCGTAAAGAAGCTGCTCGAGTTGAACTTAATTCTCGCTGATGGAATATAGAGAGAATGAGGGTGGTTTGCTACAATTCAATTAGCATGGCGGCTTCTACCCATGAAGGATCGAACTGGTGGAACCAAGGAAAGTAGTTTATCCGAGCACTTCTATGGTAGTTGCGATGGAGCATTGAGAGGCTGGCCACATCTCGTCTCGGAGAAAGCGGTTACAGGGTAGAAAATAATTTGAAACGCACAACGACACAGAGACACTTTTGGACTCTAACGAGACTGGAAAGTGAGGACTGGGCAACCCCTGACAAAAATATGACAGCAGTACTCACTTTCATTTCTAAGGTGGCTCTTGTAAAGGTAGAGGATAGCACGAGGAGTCAGGTACTTACTGGAGCGGTAAGAGTATCGACCATTTTTGACTGCATCCTTTTTTTTTTATCCTATTTTCTTGCAACATTACAGACATGTTGCATATTGGCTGGGGCATCTGTGACGTTATGGCGATATTACTGTAACATTGGAATCAACTTTTCTTCCTGACCTCAAACTGAACGTTCATCCACAATTTTATTGTAAAGCAGCTGTCGCTGAAAAATTCCGCACTGGTCAAAAAAAAGTTTCCTTCACTTAAAAATATGTATAGAAAGGGTAAACTTTTATTTTTCGTATTTTTTTAAAACAGCGAATCACTAATTTCGGTAATGAATACATATTCTAATATCTTTCTGGAATTTATTATTGATTTTCTGTTAAGTAGAATTTTCTGCCACACGCTGACGCGTGTTAAAATCCTCTCAATATTTAGTACTAGCAGGAGAGCCCGGCATTGCCCTGGAATGTAACAGTAAGAGATAGATCAAGTATCGACCATCATAAAGACTGAAAAATAAAACTGACAAAGATTATTGTTTAAGGTTGACGGACACGCATGTCTTAATTATTATTTTTTTTTTTTTTTACGAATTGGTCAAACCCAAACTCAAACAAAAATATTGTTTTCAATCGTTATGAGTCTACCGATTGAATAGAATTTTATCATAAATAATTGTCTTGTAAATGGAATTTTTAAAGCGTTCTGAATGTAAAAATAAAGAAAAAAGTGTGCAAGACAATAAGAAACACTACTTGGCAAAAAAAAGGCGAAGTTTTGTTGAAATCGGTTGAAAAATGTAAGAAATCCGATCCTATATATAAATGAACAGACACACAAACAACCTGGCTTTTATAATAAGTATAACTCGATATGAGTTGTCCCCCTTTCATTCTCGCGATGCCTCTTAATCGTGTTTTCAAATTGATTTCATGCAAAAACAATTGTGTTTTTCTAATTTTTGGCACTGTCAGAACCACCCCAAGGTAATTTTATGTAGTCTTGTGAAATTTTGTTGAAATCGGTTGAAAAATGTAGGAAATTCAATCCAATATATAAACGTACAGACACACACACACACACACACACAACCGAGGTTTTATAAGTATGATTGTTAAAGTTATCGCTAACATTTTTTGTCGAGATTTACAAACTCTAAGTTTCGTTCAATTTCGCAAATGAATCGATGAAATTTGAGTAAGCTGAATAATTTTGGAAAAATACTTTGCCAAAAATCCTACTTCGTGGTTTAATAATTTCTTTAATTTAAGGTAATTTTATAGTATTTCATGGTAAACATTTTTTAAGATTTTTTTTCCTTTTTAACAGCGAAGAATAAATTCTTAGGATTTCTTACTCTTGAGAATGCAACATAGAACTGGCCATGCGTACATATTTCTTTCTGGAGCCAAATTCCAACTTTTTGAAGCTTTTGGCCTTGTGATTTGTATATAGTTCTCGCAAACTCAAGGAGAACTGGAAACTGGATTCTTGTCCATTCGAAAGGATATTCGGTTGGTTTATGAAAAAACTTTATACTTGGGATTAATACTACCCGTCCTGTTTTAAACATTGTAGTAGTTTGTTGTCAATAAGTTTGTCGAACGTAAGAGTTGTTCCATTACATAGTCCTCCCCGAGAATTTATATTACACAATAGCATTAATGGCATTGCTGGTTTCAACAATAGGTTGTGTCTTGGAAATCTGTTTGGCACTAATGTATTCAAATACTCAACATTGAAACGTCGGCTATCATTTGCATTAGCGAGGCTATCTGCACTCGTCAACTTTATTGAATTTCTTTTCAGCCAATCATGCATTGTCGCGTTTATATCACTGCTATTCTTGAAATCCTCTGCCCATTTGAAACTCTCGCTACAGTGTTTATATTTACAGTGCTTGGGTAACTCGAGACGGTGTAATGGTTAGCAAATTTATCTTGTGAGAACAGTTACGAATGAGTAGTGAGTTTGATCCTCAGTGGGTGCCCCATACTTTCGGCGTTGTGCCACATCTAAGTTACGCTTGGAAAATCCTTTGGGCACCTGGACGGTGTTTAATAGTTAGGAAGCTTGTCTTGCTAGAGCAATTACGACTGAGTAGTGAGTTCGATCCTCACTGCGTGCCCCATACTTTTGGCCTTGTGCCACATCTAAGCTACGCTTGAAAAATCCTTTGGGCACCTGGACGTTATGTAATAGAAAACGTGTCTTGCTGGATCAAATACGACTGAGTAGTGAGTTCGATCCTCACTGCGTGCCCCATACTTTTGGCCTTGTGCCACATCTAAGCTACGCTTGGAAAAATCCTTTGGGCACCTGGACGGTGTTTAATAGTTAGGAAGCTTGTCTTGCTGGATCAATTACGAATGAGTAGTGAGTTCGATCCTCAGTGGGTGCCCCATACTTTCGGCGTTGTGCCACATCTAAGTTACGCTTGGAAAATTACTATATTGACGATGCTACTACAGTGCATTATATTTTACTAGAATTAAATATATATAAAAACTTAGAGAAAAAAAAGAATATTGCATTTTTATGAAATAATTATTTGTTATTTTAATCATTAATTCGTTTTTAAAATAGTGGAAACATTTTGTATGTTCATTAATAAAAGTTTTAATTTTTCCAAACAATGAATGAAAATTTATTGTACTAAACTGTGCATCCTAGTAAAACCAACTGTAATTTGTACCCCCTTACCTGCTTGAACTTCTCCCTAAAATTTGGTTTCGATCGAAGTCACACACACACACACACACACACACACACACACACACACACACACATATATATATATATATATATATATATAGATAGATAGATAGATAGATAGATAGATAGATCTGCTGCCATCAGCATGGCTGACGCTAGACTCCAGGAGAGCATCACACTACGCTTTTTTGGCTTCACGTTTTCCTCTGACATGAAGTCGAGCAACTACATCGAATCTATAGCTGCATCTACTGCAAGGAAAGTTGGGTGACTGTGTCGTGCCAGAAACATTTTCTCGTCAGAATCCATCTTGCACATTTACAAATCTACCATTCGTCCGTACATTGAATACTTGTTGCCATATTTCGTCTAGTGCTTCTGATGTACATCTAGAGTTCCTTGATAAAATCCAAAGAAGGATCTGTAATGTAATTAATACTGACTTGGCATCTCGACTTTCTTACCGACGTGGCGGGGCTTCTCTCTGTCTTTGCTTCAAATATTTTAATGTCAACTGATAAGCTTTTTTTGTTCTGGTGCCCGAATACATCAATTTAAACGTGCTACTAGATTGGCATCTAGGTCCCACTTTTTATTGTTGCAGTAGCTAATTGCAACCGACACTTCTACTCCAACAGTTTCATTTCTTGCACTTCCCACCTGTGGAATTCCCTTCCGTTGAATTGCTTCCCTGATTGTTTATCAAAATGCAACATCAATCGCCATCTTCAGACTTCTTGAATCCCGTTCATCTTTTGTCCCTTCCTCAATCCTCCCATTCTCAGTCTTCTCTTTCAGTTTCTCTCCCTGTATCATCCCACTGCATACTAGTGGCGTTCCCGCCTTGCTTGCGGTGAAATGATAAAAACATGTCTTCTGTGGCTTATCCATGCAGATGATGCAACAGTTTATAGGTGAACCTTTTAAAATATGGATGACCAGAACGTGACAGCTGATCTCACCTTTGACCTAACAATGGTGACTCAAGTGGGGAACGAACTGGTTTGTAAAATTCAATATGTCCAAGACCGAACTGGTAACGTTCTAACATCACTAAACAGACCGGGAATTTTCACCTATCAAGATGGATGGGTTTTCTATGGAGGAGACTGTTTGTTTGAACACCTGTGCGGATTCAAACTTTCCCCAGACCTCAAGGGGAATTCATGTTTCTGATATATTGTTAAGCTGGAAAAACGATCGATTCAATGTACCACGCCAGTAAATATTTGACACCTCCTGCTACACACTATCTTTAAAAGAACCAAACTAAAAATCTAGTATTGTTAGGGTCCGGATCCCAGTGCATATACATGGATGAATCGACAGGGTGTAAGGGACCTGGCGGTCTGTATCCCAGTACATATACATGGATGAATCGACAGGGTGTAAGTGACCTGACGGTCCGGGTCCCAGTGCATATACATAGATGAATGGACAGGTTGTAAGTGACCTGACGGTCCGGGTCCCAGTGTTATACATGGATGAATCGACAGGGCGTAAGTGACCTGACGTTCCGGGTCCCAGTGTTATACATGGATGAATCGACAGGGTGTAAGTGACCTGACGTTCCGGGTCCCAGTGTTATACATGGATGAATCGACAGGGTGTAAGTGACCTGACGTTCCGGGTCCCAGTGTTATACATGGATGAATCGACAGGGTGTAAGTGACCTGACGTTCCGGGTCCCAGTGTTATACATGGATGAATCGACAGGGCGTAAGTGACCTGACGTTCCGGGTCCCAGTACATATACATGGATGAATCGACAGGGCGTAAATGACCTGACGTTCCGATCCCAGTACATATCCATGGATGAATCGATAGGGCGTAAGTGACCTGACGTTCCGGATCCCAGTACATATACATGGATGAATGGACAGGGTGTAAGTGACCTGGCGGTCCGGGTCCCAGTACATATCCATGGATGAATCGACAGGGTGTAAGTGACCTGACGCTCCGGGTCCTAGTGCATATACACGGATCGACCCAAAGATTCGGGATGCTTAAAGCGTAAAATTGCCCCTTCAGGTAGAGGATAAATCGATAAAGAATTGTTGCTTGGCTTTCTGTTTAGCGGCATATCAACACACCTATGGGTTATTTAATGCCAAAAGCTAAATATTTTGCACTTAACTTTATGCTTTCATCTACAGATATTTTGTACATAATTTTATATTTTCAGAATAAATGTATGTTTTTTTTGTATATCTATCTTTCGTAGATCAACTGTATTAGTGGTAATTTTACTATAAAAATCTATTTTTATTGTATTACATTGATTGCTATTTTGCTATAAAAATGTGTTGTCATTTTATTATAAACGTACTGTTTGGGAGTTCATTATTTGCCCATAACTTGGACCCTAACAGGTACTACCACCACGGGTGAGGATGGACCTGGAAACAACGGCAATTAAGCGGTGGTTCCAGGCTCTTCAAAACTTCCAATCTCCTGGTCAGAGACTTTGCTGCCGGATGTAGTTTATCGTCATACCTCGGACAAGATAAAGAATGAAATCGTTTATGGTGTTGTGGTTCGATTTCGAGACATGTACAGACAAAACACTGGGGAAGTTATATAAAAGAACTAATGAAAATATTGATCAGTCTGTTAACCTGTACCGTGTCCCTTTAATAGGTGGTCAACCAAGGTTCCCTATAACTGCCTACAACTACATTTTGATGCCTCAAATCTCTTCTCCATTTGTGAGGAACGTGTCTACCATTCACTACCATGTATCACGAAGCATTTCAACACACTTTTCGTTCCTAACGATATTTTTCCTGTTTCTTAATACTTTGTTCAGCTTTTGAAAGGCATCTTTCGCTATCCTAATGCGCTATCAGATGTTTTGTCATATTTCCCGTCATTTTTGAAAATTATTTCTCCCTCAAGCAATGCTTATTGCCTCTAACGCACAAGAGGTCACTGAATGCGAAAGACTATGAAAAAAAAAAAAATTATTAAAGAGAGAGAACGATAAAAGAACAGGAATTATTTTTTTAATCATTTCACACCAAGCAAGGCAATAAAGCCACTAAGACACAAGGGGTTACTGAGTGTGAGAGAATGTGAGAAAAAGAAAACATCATTATGAAGAGAGAACAATAAAAGAACAGGAATTTAAAAAAAAACAGAAAGTAAAGACTGATATTATCTTTAACTTTTTTGAAGATCAAAGTTGACTGGAAAGAAAAAAGTCAGAAGAGAGTTCCACAACCAAGAAGTGCTAGAGAAGAAACTATTAGGATAGAACTTACGGTTATATCTAGCCATTCCAATTGCAAAATGATGTGACTTTACCGCTAATCTAGTACTGTGCTTAAATTCTTAAAGTCTAGGTAGCATAAAGGAAAGTAATATTTATTTTGAGCAATACAAAAAAGTTGCACAAAGCCAAAAGGGGGAGTGGCTAGTCATCAATCTGTCTTATCTTAAACTTAGTTAGTCACAATTACTGATCCAAACATACCAAAACAACAAATTCTTAATTACCATTCTTCCTACAGTCATCATAATACCCCAAAGTCTCTATGAAGTTCTAACTAGTTCCCATAGGAAAGTTAATAATAAAGGAAAGTTAATCAGTACAATTACCATAAAAATATGTATAGAAAAAGGTGCACAGAAGCTACGTTACGTCTGTGGGAATGTGACTGAAGTCGTGATGTCAGATCAGGACCAATAACATTGCAGATTCTTTTTTATTTTATAAAGAATGTTGAATTTTGACATATCCGATTTGTAGTTCGTAAATTAAACAAGTAAATAACGTTAAAAGAATAATATTTCATAAATACTTAAATTTCATCCTTCAAATCTACAAATCCACCATTCTTCCTTGCATTGAATACTGTTGCCATATATGGTCTGCTGTCCCCACTTTTCATCTCGAGGTCCTCGACAAAATCCAAAGACGGATATGTAATCTGATAAGTCCTGATCTGGCACCTCGTCTACAGTCACTTTCGCATCGAACTGATGTGACTTCCCTCTGTCTTTTCTACAAATATTTTCATGGCAACTGCTCTGACGAGCTATTTTCACTGGTGCCCTAACTGCATGGATTTAAGCGTGCTACTAGGTTGGCATCTCAGTCCCACCTTTTTAATGTCGAAACAGTTAAATGCAACCGCTTCTTCAACTTCAACAGCTTCTTCTCTTGCACCCGCCGACAGTGGAACTCCCTTCTTCTTACTTGCTTCCCTGATAACTATAATCTTCAACAATTTAGATGTTATGTCAATTGACATCTTCTGACGCCTTGATCTTGATCCTCATTCTTCTCTTTATCCTTTCCCCAAACACTCCTCTTTACTCTTACTTTCACTCTCTGTAACCCCTTGCGTGTTAGTGGCACTCCCGTCTTGCTTGGGGTGAAATGCTTAAAAAAATGTACTTCTAAAATTAAACAGATATTATAATTTTCTTTCTTTCTTTCTTTCTTTCTTTCTTTCTTTCTTTCTTTCTTTCTTTCTTTTTTCTAGTCACATACGCATGTGTACGCACATGCGCAGTAGTGAATTTTTTTCCAGTTTTAGTACCAGTAATGTGGTAGTTTTGAAAGGACAACTGTAGGCGACGAAGAGGACAGATTAGTAAAAAAGAGAAAGCTATTGAAAAAAAAAAAAGAAGCTCTTGTTTGATGATTGATGAAAATATTTCCCGATTGCAGAGTGAAGGCGGATGTATGTGAAGAAGGGAGAAAATAAACGGAGAGCAGAATTATCTGACGATTATTTTTGACGTGCCCGAAGCAGGGAGACAGGAGATTGTATCATAAACTGATCACTCATTCACACTCCATCAAATGGTGGCGTTTATAAAATATTTACCGCTCTCTCCTTCGACAGCTGCAAGTTGAATAATAAGAGGTCTGAACTCACAGCTTTTTTTACTATCTCGGTTGTCTCCCCTTTGCCCTTGCGACTTTATTTCGCTTCTTTTTTTAATCATTTTTTAAATGCTATTTTTTTTTTTTCTTATCAGCCCTTAACTGTACTTATTTATTTAGTGGATGTGCTGCTTGCTCGACCGTTATCAGCACAGAAAGCAAAATTAGCGCGCAGAGTTCAAGTACTAGCAAAGTCGTTTTCGTTCAGTTCTTTGTAAAAAGGCATGAATCCATCTACCCCCAACGATAGCAGACTAGATTCTCTAGCTTTTCGTGGCAAGACGGGGTTTCAAATTTAGGTCAGGTTCTTAAAAAATCAACTGCTCTTAAAGTTTGCCTCGTTAGCCGAGACGACCAATTTAATCTAGGAAAAGTAAAATTATTTGCAAACCTGACTGTCTAGCCAGGGCCGGTGCGTACTACCGCTAACCCCACGACCGGGGTGAGTAGAGCCTGATTTGGGTTCCGGGCAGTGCTTTGTGACCCTTGCTATCTTTATCATCATTTGTTTTTTTTTTCTATCTACATATACATACGTTACAAATTAAACTAGGCACAACTGACTCTAAAAGGATGAAAAATTTTCGTGGATTTATTATAGGTTTTTTTCTCGTCCAAATCCGTGGATTTGTTTTGCTCATTTTTACGAAAAAAACACTATATAAAATTAACTATTTTTCATCATTAATGTTGAATGTCTTAAAATTATTCAAGTTTTTAACAAAAAAATCTCAAGTTGTTGCTAAAAATTGCCGCAAAACATTCTTGATTTATTTAAGGTCGAATGATCTCTTATGTCATTCAGTTATGCGCCATGCGTGATACACACTTTCGATACACGACTGACGAGGCAGATTTTTTTTCCCAGCAGTAGGTTGCCATTTCTTTCTGCGGTAGACGAGTTGCCATCCAAGGCTAGAGAAACCGGCCTGTTCTGCTATTTACCCATAGCTAGAGGGAGAAGAAGAGGATTCATACCTTTCCCAAGGGTATTAGCTCGTAAATAAATGTAATGGATGCGACTGGAATTCGAACTCGTCTCATTTGAATTTTGAATCCAAAGAACTAAAGTCATTTCTTCATCTAAAATAATTTTCCTTAAAGAATTAAATATGAGAAAGAAGAAGATACATACCTTCCCCAAGTGTATTAGCGCATAAGTGAATGTAATGGATTCGACTGGAATTCGAACTCGGCTCTCCGATTCCTCAATGATATATCTCTAATTTGTATTTAGTTACATTGCATTTATTTTTAAATTTTCTAGTTGGAATGGTTCACCTCTATTATATACTAGCAGTAGAGCCCGGCCTTGCCTAGGGATGTAACAGTAAGAGATAGATCAAGTATCGACCATCATAAAGACTGAAAAATAAAATTGACAAAGATTATTGTTTAAGGTTGACGGACACGCAAGTCTTAATTAGTTTTTATTTTATTTATTTTTTTTTTTTACGAATTGGTCAAACCCAAACTCAAACAAAAACATTGTTTTAAATCGTTAAGAGTCTAGCAATTGAACAGAATTTTATTATAAACAATTGTCTTGTAAATGGAATTTTTAAAGCATTCTTAATGTCAAAATAAAGAAAAAAGTGTGCAAGACAATAAGACAACACTATCTGCCCCCAAAAAGTGATGTTTTGTTGAAACCGGTTGAAAAATGTAGGAAATCCGATCTCATATATAAACGAACACACACACAAACAACCTGGGCTTTATAATAAGTATAACTCGATATGAGTTGTCCCCCTTTCATTCTGGCGACAGAATCGTGTTTTCAAATTGATTTCGTGCAAAAACAATTGTGTTTTTCCAATTTTGAGCGCTGTCAGAACCACCGCAAGGTAATTTTACACAGTCCTGTGAAGTTTTGTTGAAATCAGTTGAAAAATGTAGGTAATCTGATCCAATATATAAACGTACAGACACACACACACACACACTCACACACACAATCTGCGCTTTATAATAAGTAAGATGATCCATTATTATACATTATTACGTTACAATAAAAATTGTATTTTATATGAATTCTACCTCATGAAAATTGAGATGTAGGAAGGTGGGAGGTTCCGTATCATAGATTTGGGGGGAGTGTATCACAGATTTGGTTGGGGTCTACGAGGCCGTTGAACCGGCCCTGTATCCATCTATCAGAGAATGTTTACGCAACATTACAGACATGTTCTCTATTGGCTGAGGGGATTTGTGGCGTTATGGTTACGTTACTGCAACATTGCAATCAACTTTTTTCCTGACCTCAAACTGAACGCTCACCCACAATTTTCTCATAACTTTATTGTAACGCTGCGAAATGCTGTTGCAGAAATATTTCGCATTGATCAATTATAAAATCACAAAAATCTTCCTTCGCATAACAATAAGAAGAGGTAAAAAGTTTTTTTGCATTTAAAAAAAAACAAAAACAAAAGAATTAAAAGCGGGTGAGCTTTGCAATATGTTCCAGGAATTTATTTTTTATTTTCTGTTAATTTTAGTTTATTTTTGTTGCCAATTCTCAAGAACAAAAAAAAAAAAAAAAAAAAAAGATATAAATTCAGTTTCATCACGTTTAGGTTTTATTCCAATTCTAATCATCGCTTTTCAAAACAATAAACATTGTCGAAGAGTTAAGGTAGTTAAGTGGTGTCATGGGAAAAAACTGTCCTTTTCATACCCCGTCTTATTGAAAACACGTTTATCAATGTTTGTCATCCATTTTTTTCCTTTCCTTTCCTTTCTTTTCATTATTCGTCCTCTCTTTACTTTTCTTTTTTTCTTTCTTTCTTTCTTTCTTTTTATTATAGCTTCCTCTATTTATTTTTTTTTACATAATCCATTCATTCTTTTTCTTTGCCTTTCTTTTCGTTATTCGTCCTCTCTTTACTATTCTTTCTTTCTTTCTTTCTTTCTTTTTATTATCGTCTCTTTTATATTTTTCTTTGTATAATCCATCCATTCTTTTTCCTTTTCTTTTTTCTTTTCATTTATCGTTCTTGTTGTCTTTTTTTTTCGTTCCTTCTTTTATAATCGCTTCTTTTATTCTTTACATAATTCACCCATTCTTTTTTCTTTTCTTTTTCTTTTCATTATTTGTCCTCGCTTTCCTTTCTTTCTTTCTTTCTTTCTTTCTTTCTTTTTGCTTTACATAATCCATCCATTCTTTTTCCTTTTCTTTCATTCTTTTCATTATTCGTCCTCGCTCTCTTTTTCTTTCTTTCTTTCTTTCTTTCTTTCTTTTATTCTCTACATAATCAATTCATTCTTTTTCCTTTTTCTTCTTCTTTTTTTTTATTAATCTTTATTATTTACCATTTTATAGAGTTCGAAACAATTAGCAATTAGCTGATGTTTTGCCAACCATTCTAATAAACAATATAATAACTAAATAGCAAAATTAAACAATCTAATAAATAGTGCTTGATATTTTTCTTGTAAATTCTCAAGGACAATATAGATATATATATATATATATATGAATTCACTTTTTAAAACAATAAAAATTGTTGAAAAGTGAAGGTAGTTAAATAAGCGGTGTCATGGGAAAAACAGTCCCTTTAACACTACGTCATATTGCGGGCACAATTATCCATGTTTTCTGAGTTTGCAATCTCTACTAGTACCAGTTAGTGAAAGGCCAAAACAATAAAAAAATAATTATTTTGACTCGGCTGTGAACCTGGTTTGATTCAGTACAGTCATTTTAGAAAACAAAAAGAGTCAATGTTCGTAACAAAGACTTACCATCCTGAATTAAATGCGTCTTCCCACCGTATTTAATTAACCCATATAACGCGGCGACCATAAAAAAAGACCAGGATTTATTACTGGTGGATACCATCTTAGCAACATAAAATAGGCAGATGGCACCGTGTTGATGACAGACGCAAAAAGAAAACTACAATAATTCCTAGAGAAAGGAGTAAAGGAAGGAAAGAAAAAAAGACTCTCAATTGTAACAAGACAAAATGTATGTACATTAGATATTATTTAAATATCTGGGAAATGTTTCAACAGATGATTGAAAACGAGACACTGAAATCTGAACGTACATTGGCATAGCGAAAGATGCCTTCCAAAAGCTAAGCAATGTTGTAAAAGATAGGAAAGTTTCGTTAGAAACAAAGAAAAGAGTAAATAAATTATTTACATTATTCGGATATTGTCCTCATCTTTGTTGCTTTATTTATCACAACGTTTCGGCCGATGTGCGCTCCGACCTTCTTCAGGTGGTTGGAATGTTGAACTGAACCCTTATTTCGCTCGCTGGGCTAGACTGTTCTAGTTCAACGTGCCTTGTCTAATGGATGTCAGTTATCAGTTATCTACTGTTAATTCCCCTCTCCAAGTTCTCCACTTAACTCACAACTCTTTGGGTCCTGTCACTGGATCTAACCAACAATTTTATCCACTGTGCCATGTGTCCTTTTATTTTTCAATTTAACTTTTTGAAATTTTCCTTGATTTGAATAAATGAATATTAACCTTTTTTTTTTTTTAAATATAATTGTATTCAACATTCCTTGTTTAATTCAAAATTTATGGTTTTATTTCATAACAATTAAATGTCTACCCTTTAAAAATTTTTCTAATAGGGTTATTTACCTTTATCCCCAGGTGTGCCCTTGATTAAAAAAGGAAAAGGATAGGAAGTTGTGGAATGCCATGTTCACCTACCGAAAGGACCTGGTTAAATGGATGGCAGCACAGGGACTAGGAAGAATAGTAAAGAATCAAATATTACTTAGAGTTACGAAGCTTAGGAAGTTGTGGAGAGCCAGGATCACCTACCTAATGAGCACGTGTAAATAGATGGCAGTCTGAGGACTGGAAAGGACAGTAAAGAGATAAATATTACTTAGAGCTACGAGGGATTGGAAGTTGTGGAGAGTCATGATCTTCTACCTAACGAGCTTGTGTAAATAGATGGCAGAGAGGGACAAATATTAATGCGGCATATATCACTTAGAGCTACGCAGGATAGGAAGTTGTGGAGTACCATGTCCATCGATCTAAAGAGCTCTTGTAAATGGATGGCACACTGAACACTGGGAGTGATATTAAGTGGACAATTATTATTTAGAGCTCATCATCTCATCATCTTGCGGCCTCAGCAGAGATTGAACTCACTAATACTTTGATTGATGTAGTTCATAAACTTGTGAAATAGCTGAATTCTTGATGCTTCGCTAGGGCTATCAAGGGTGTTTTTATCGTGACACCAACACGAAATGGATTGCTAACCAAGGCTCAGAGAGACTCCATTCACCCTCCTCTAAGAGCAGGTTTGAATTCAGAGTTTTCCTTCTCCTAGACCAGTTGCCATCCAAGGCTATAGAACCCAGTCTGTCCTGCTATTTACCCATAGCTGGAGGGAGAAGAAAGAGGATTCACACCTTTCCCAAAGGTGTTAGCACGTAAGTGAATGTAATGGATTCGACTGGAATTCGAACTCGGCTCTCCGATTCCTCAATCCAAGCCGCTATCCATTACTCCACCGTGCCTCCTAGCTAATAAGGATAGGAGGTTGTGGAGAGCCACGATCACCTACTTAATGTGCTTATGTAAATGAATGGCAGACTGAACTGTGAAGTATAATAAACAGACAAATATGCTACGAGGGATAGGAAGTTGTGGAGAGCCACGATCATCTACCTAATGAGTTTGCGTAAATAAATGGTAGAACAGGGGATAATTGGATAAAAATTGCTAAGAGATGCGAAAGAATCATGTAAATGATTCTCGATTCTTTGATGATCTTATGCCGTCTTCCCATGTTTCTTTGCCATCCTTGTTCGCTCAAAAGCAACTCTTTATCGCCGACCTTGAAACTTTTGGGGTCGCTTTTGTTAATCGTTCGTGTTTTTCGACTTGGTAACAACTTATCGATTTTACTCTTCTGGCAAATTCCGCCAGGAACATGTCTGATAGTGTACTGGAGTTAGGTGTCACCCGGTAAACAACCACAAAATTTTGAAGTGCTTCCTCATTTAATTTCTCAAAGCTTTCTTCAACGATCTTTTGAACGTTCCCACAAACCTTTCCGCTTCTCCGTTAGACCTTGGGGTCATAACAGGTTCAATATAGAATATCTTACAAAAATCTTAAAATTCTTTAACCTTGAATTGCATTCCGTTATCAGATACTATAATCTTACTTATTAAAAACGCAGATTGTGTGTGTGTGTCTGTACGTTTATATATTGGATCGGATTTCCTACATTTTTCAACCGATTTCAACAAAACTTCACAGGACTACGTAATATTACCTTGCGGTGGTTCTGACAGCACCAAAAATTGGAAAAACACAATTGTTTTTGCACGAAATCAATTTGAAAACACGATTAAGAGGCGTCACGAGAGTGAAAGGGGGACAACTCATATCGAGTTATACTTATTATAAAACTCAGGTTGTTTGTGTGTGTGTGTGTGTGTGTGTGTTTCGTTTATATATGGGATCGGATTTCCTACATTTTTCAAACGATTTCAACAAAACTTCACTTTTTGGTAGGTAGTGTTTCTTATTGTCTTGCACACTTTTTTCTTTATTTTTACATTCAGAATGCTTACAAAATTCCATTTACAAGACAATTGTTTATAATAAAATTCTATTCAATCGGTAGACTCATAACAATTGAAAACAATGTTTTTGTTTGAGTTTGGGTTTGTCCAATTCGTAAAAAAATAAATAAATAAAATAAAAACTAATTAAGACATGCGTGTCCGTCAACCTTAAACAATAATCTTTGTCAATTTTATTTTTCAGTCTTTATGATGGTCGATACTTGATCTATCTCTTACTGTTACATCCCCGGGCAACGCCGGGCTCTACTGCTAGTATCTGTTATATCTCAGTTCATGCAAGAAATTCATTGTCACTGAGGATGTTGGATTTCTGCCCTTATAAATTTCTGGCCATTTTGTGAGAACTACCAACTATCACATCATCTATCACATGATAATATGATCCATCCATAGGACGTGCAAAATCTATATACAGTCTTGCCCAAGGCGTGTCTGTTTTTGATCAATGTTCTAGATTTGTAATAGGTGGTTTTGCTGCTCGAGTACAACCTCTTCATTTTTTCACTATCCTTTCAATATCATAGTCCAATATACCTAATTTTTCACCAGTGATTTCATTCTAGAAATACCAGGATGTCTGCAAGGAAAATCATTTAATATTCGTTTCTGTAACACACTCAGTATTACAACTCTTTGACTGTACATTACTACGCCATTGCATATCGAGTACACGTTTAAGCCTGGATTTCGTTCTTTATTTTTTTTCTTTCAATTACTTTCTTATTTTCGCAACAAAGACGCCATTTTACGCTTTTGCTTTTAGGACCTCCAATCAGTTGTGGACTGGGGCAGGAATTAGCTGCTTAACTTTAATGCATCAAAAACAAAACTGCTCTCTATTACTCACCACAGGGAACCATCCCTGCCTCCCATTAGAATGTCTGACACTCAACTCCATGAGAGCACCTCTTTGCGACTGCATTGTTTGCTGACCATAGATGGAACGAATACATTGAGTGAATAGCTTTGTCCACCACTAGGGAAGTTGGCTCCCTGTCCCGAGCCAGGAAATTTTTCACGCCGGAGTCGATCCTTCACATCTACAAATCAACCATTTGCCCTTGCATGGAGTATTGCTGCCATATATGGCCTGGAGCCCTTTCTAATTGTCTCAAGGTCCTTGATAAAATCCAGAGACGGATATGCAATGTGATTGGCCCTGATCTGACAACTCGTCTACAGTCGCTCTTTCCCAGACGTGCCGTCGCTTCCCTCTGTCTTTTCTACAAATACTTTCATGGTAATTCCTCCGACGAGGTACTTTGGCTAGTTCCCAGACTGCATGAATTTAAACGTACAACTAGGCTGGCATCTCGATCCCATCCTTTCACTGTCGAAACAGTTAAATGTTACCGTCTCTTCTACTCCAATAGCTTCATGTCTCGCACCTCTCATCTGTGGAATTCCCTTCCTATTACTTGTTTCCCTGATAGCTATAATCTCCAACTATTCAAATGTAATGTCAATCGACATCTCCAGATGCCTTGATCTATTCCCTGTCCTTCCCTTCATCCTTTTCTCTATCACGCCTCTTTACTCTCGCTCCTACTCTCTGTAACCCCTTGCAT